CTCCCAGCCTATGAGATACCTCTCTATTGTTGTCATAAAACCATTTCATCAGTGTTGCAAATCTATTTAACCACATTTTTATAGATTGCTCTACTAGATGCTTATTCTGTTTTTGAAATTGATGGCACTAATAGTCTGTATATTTATCATAATTTTCCCAAACTTGAATCTGTTTCTATCTTGTCCCAGTTCGACTTAATAGATTTTCTTTAAGTCGGGTAAATACACCTAGTCAAGAAGGGTGGCATGTCAGACTTCAGGTCGGGCCATGCAAGGTCTCTCCTAGGAACGCGCGCCGAGAACAGAACAGACATATCATCGGGCCCGCAAGCAGAGCGAGCAGGTAGATCGGTACCAAGAGGGCCCGTTAACTTGGTCCCTTGGCGTGGTTGGTGGTCGAAGGTTCGAATCGGGTCATGTCGGGCCCGATGAGTCGGTGATTCCTCCTTGCACAGAGAGAGGTAGTTCTTCAGACGATCTAAGCAATAGAGTACGTGGTACACTATCACACATTTATATATGCAGGCCCATAATTCATGAAACTGTACAACAATACATTACTACAATATATCATTACCCTTATTAAGTGCCATGCAAAGACCCAAGGGAAGTAATAAAAAATCTAAAGAAAAGCCAAGTGGCTATTACAATGCTATATCAAAGTAAGCAACTATACGTCTTACAGACTAAAAGCAAGTCTAAAGAAATAGGTGAACTTTTGTAGATACATTTGAAAAAGCCAAGGGCATTTAGGCTTAAAATGTAGGGAGGAGTTGAATAAGAGCAGAAAGCAAGGCAAGAAATGTTAATAACAAAACTGCAGTATAGGAGTGTAGAGTACAAGTATTTATACTAAGTGGTAGGTATAAGGCATAGTAAGTAAGAGGAACGCGAAGATATATACGAGGCAAAGGAAATGACACTGTAAGTTATCAGTGGTAATCCGCTAGAGTGCCATTGACAAGGCTTAGTATTTTTAGAATATCCCCTGAGGTGAATAATTAATAAAATTAAGCTCTAAGGGGCAAACACTAAACACTGTGAGTTATTCGTAGTAATCCGCTAGAGTGCTATTGACAAGGCTCAGTATTTTCAGAACATCCCCTGAGGTGAATAATTGCTGGGGAGAGGGGTGAATAAAGTTAAGCTCTAAGGCAAAATTTGTACCAAGTCCAGTATGTAAGGAATAAATAAATGTGAATAATATAATATAGGTTATTTAAACTAAGTCTCCGAGAGTCACACTTCTATAGGTATCTGTAATAACATTTATAAATATTAACACTCATGCTAAGCTTTATAATATAATAGCCTTCTTAGCTTAAAAAGTGCTATGTAAGGGAAGTGCTGTTCTCACACAGCACTAACTTCTTTACAGAACTTCTAGAGATCTAAAATCTAGTATAGAATTAAGATCAATGATAGGGTCCTCTCCTTAAACAAGAGGTGGATGACTGTCTAAGAGAAAAAGGTTCCTACTATAAACTCAGTAAGTAATAAGTTATAGCTCTGAGACAAGACAAAACTGAGACAACACTTATTATCTAAGCAATCTGTAAAATCATATATAAGGATATCTATTCTATTCAGTTACCCTCATACCTTGTTTCAGCAGAATAGCAGTCTAGCTAACTGCTGTTACTCATACCTGGATAAGGTGTTAGCAGTTTGTTCTGTTTTACTAAACTAACCACCCTTAAGGCGGCTGACATTTCACTTAAGCCTAGGGACACTCAGTCCTGTAATCAAACTCTACTTCGGAGTACTTGGTTCTAACAGGATTAGGTCCAGCATGTTGTATCTTATTTGGTCCTATTTTCCAAAGATATAAGTAACTAGTCAGCTGAATATCCAACTCATCCATCTTCTAAGTCTTTAACAAGAAGCTTCTAAATGGCAAGCAACCAATTCATTTCAGATAAACAGATATATAGACAGACATACTTTTCTTCTTAATACCACAAGTCGCTATATATAAATGCTCACTGGGCTCTTTTTACAATTTTTTTCCTGCGAAAAGTTAGGTAACGGAAATTTGAAATTTTTAGATAAATTTTTTCCAAGTTAAAATTTGAACTATTTGTAGCAACCTTTCCCTAAAAAATATTAAAAAAAAAAGACTTGCAAGTTTTTTACCTAATTATTACTAAGAAAAATATTAGACTATATATAGAGAGAGAGAGAAAAAAAAAATAGAACAAAATTTCGAGTTTTTGCCACCAATCCTTTTTATGTTGCAGAGATGATAAAGAATAGGGAGTGTATTTTTGAGAAGTTCTTTTTTTTAAAAGTTTTGAAGGGCTTGTTATATTTTCTGGAAGTCTTTCTTAACTAGAAGTAAAGACTATTGCTAAAATGCTTTTGAGCAAGAATGAAAGGGACCAGGGGAAATCCATTTTTTAAATAAGTCTTTCTTAACTTGCAATACTTCTTTTAAAAAGTCAGGAAGTTTGTTATCCGAGTTAATATTTCTTGAATTTAACTTAGGCTCAAAACGGCTGGTATGTCGTCACAGGACACATGCTTCTGCCACATGTCAAGCTCTCTTTCTCCTCTTTGTCCACTGTAGTGTCATAAGCTGCCAGGGCGCAACTTTCCCTTAGAGCCTGTGTCCCTCCTCAACACCGGGCCAGCGCAAAAAACCCTTGTCCTGGCCTGCTGGGCCCATGACAGGGACGCAGAGAAGGCTGGCTGGACTGGTAGATGAGCGTCGTGGTTGTGAAAAGGTGGGTGATAAAGGTCGCCATATTGTTTTATCACCGCACTACCGAATGTAATTTATTCTTTGACAATGACTTGGGTTCAAGGGTTGTGCTGCCATTAAACCACCGTCAGGCCGCCACCTTTGCCCCCAGTGTGATAGAAAACTTGGAGATAATCGGCATAGATACTTTATTCATATTTTTTCTTTGATACTAACTTAGACAATATGATTTTGTAGACTTGGACTCGGTGAACATATTGGCAGGTTCCTTGGGGCTGCTACAACTCGAAATTGGAAGATCAGGCACTGCTTGTACTAGTAGCATTGTCACAGTTTGGGTTGGGCCGATCATGTCGACAGATTTTCAAATTTTCCGCACAATTTTCTAATCAGGTAATATTTTGCACAAAATTTGTCCTGTGGCCAAATTGAACATTTCAGCAAACGGTCACGGGTCACAGGCCCACTGAATTGAATGAAATGGGTAAGTAATATAATTTTCCAGCACTAAATCCTGGCTGAAAGGTTATCTTCATACCTCTTTTTCCCAGTAACCTGTGGTATAGGTCATAACTTACTATATATAATGTATAGGACTTATAATTCACAATACAGATCAACTGACAGTAGTTGGATCAATTATGGCATGTGACTAGCATGATTTATATAGGACCCAGTGAAATCTTTCCAACCCAGTGTTTATAAATACTGGTTTATAAACCAGGTTGTAAACTAGATAAAAAACTGCACTCAGCCCAAGGAGAGCCTTGCATGGCCTGACCTGAATTCACAAAGTATTCTATTTATAAAGGATGATACTGCATATAAATTTCTGATGGATAGTTTCTAAGATATGAGAGCCATACTGTAGTATTTTGATTAAGTGTCCATGTTATACGTTAAATTGCTAAAATCAAAAGTGAATTTTTCGGTCTTCTCAGGCACAAAATAAAACAAAATTAGTGGATGGTCGATCAAAATACTACAGTAATATATAAGTATCATGTCATCATTTTACTCAATTGCATAATAGAAACCAATAAAGAGAGAAAAACTAAGTTGTTCGCAATCAATCTCAGCATGAAGATCACTTGTTTAAGCAATATCTGAATATTGTCATATATTGTGCTCTGGGTATGATAAAACTGGGAGGATAAGAGTAATAATAACAATAATAATAATAATAAATCATAACATAATCATGGCAAACACTCGTTCGGCACACAGCCTCCAGCCAAGTGATCCTCCATCAGGGCATGTTCATGATCATTGTCCTGGGTCTAAGACCAAGTTGCTTGTAAAGCGAGAGAGCGAGAAAAAACACAAATGCCGCGAAAGACAATGAGGCCCGGCTGCTCGAACGAACGAGCAAACACCTGCCAAGGGTCTTGGTGATTTAAAACACACATCCTTTGACTCTGCCCCGCCGGAGATGAGCCCTGCTCTAATCATCATGACAACGGACGATATGTCGTCCGACGTCGCACATTGCGCATCCGATAAATCCCGTAGCGGATCATCAGCCACACTGCGCTTCCCTCCTTCGATCAAAATATCAACACACGCGCCAAGCAGTCACACCGTGACGCTCCTTCTTCCCCTCCCCCACGGCGGTTCACACCATCGCCTTCTCCACCTTCTATTTTCGCCTGGCGGCCTGCTTCCGCACACAGCGCAGATATTCCGCGACTCTATAGCCTGCCACTCACTGCACAGGGCTATTGCTCCGCACGGGGCGAGGCTATTGGCCAGCTGCCAAAACGCCCGTGCGTGCGTCCGCGTCGCGCAGGGGAGGTCATGTGTGGCCCTCGCTGAATCCCCGCGATCCTCTGCCACTGCACAGCGCGCGTGACGCTGGGCCCCATCGTGGTCTGGCCCTCCCTGCCTCGCCATCCCAACAGCCCGCAGGCAGCCGTCGACTTCGGGCCGCGAGGAGGGGTGGCGTCTGGACACCGGCTCTTGCGCTATTTCCGTCCGCCAAGCCACATGCGAAGACGGGGGACAGACGATCCCCCGCACCGGGGCGAGGCTAAAGTTCGGGGCCGTCAGCTGACTTGCCCGTGGGGAGCTTTGTCAAGTGGGCACCACGCTGCCAGTTAGCGAGTGGCCTTTGGATGGGATGCCCGCGCGGTAATGCTGCCTCCGAGAAACAGCCATGCCCTCGGAGCGCGTCGTCACCCTTGCGCGCATTTCTCCACCCCAGCCCCCAACGTCGGAGAAAATGGGGCGTACTTAAGCGCTCCGTTGTATTCTCTGGCTCCACCAACCCTCTCCTCTCCCACAAGCACTCGCAGACATGCCTTCAGCTCTCAACCTTGCAGCCCTAGCTGCGCTCCTCCCTGCCGCGCTCGCGCAGCTCGTCGGGACGAACACTGCGGAGAACCACCCGCCGCTCACGTGGGGCAAGTGCTCCGGCACGGGCGGCAACTCGTGCCAATCGCAGTCCTCCTCCGTCGTCATCGACGCCAACTGGCGCTGGACGCACAACGGTACCAGCGGGTTCAACAACTGGTGTGTGCATTAAAGTTCACGCTTACCTCCCTTCTGACGGAAAACAGCTACACCGGGAACACGTGGGACCAGTCGCTCTGCGGATCCAGCGGTACCGCCTGCTCGCAGGCGTGCGCTGTCGACGGCGCGGACTATTCCGGCACATACGGCATCACCACCAGCGGGAACGCGCTTACGCTCAAGTTCGTCACCCAGGGCCAGCAGAAGAACATTGGCAGCCGTGTCTACCTCATGGCCCCCGGCAGCCAGACGCAGTACCAGGCGTTCAACTTTGTCAACCAGGAATTCGTGCGTGCTGCTCCCTTGCTTTTAGATTGGCCCTCAGGCTCATGAAATACAGACATTCGACGTTGACGTCTCCCAACTCCCCTGCGGCCTTAACGGTGCGCTCTACTTCGTGCAGATGGACGCGGACGGCGGTGTCTCCAAGTCGAATGGATTGAACAAGGCCGGCGCTAAGTACGGAACGGGATACTGCGACGCGCAGTGCCCAAGGGACATTAAGTTCATCAACGGTGTTGCCAACTCCGTCGGCTGGACCCCGAGTCCCAACGACACCAATGCCGGAACTGTGCGTCGTTTCTTTTAGCTCAGTTTGCGAGGAGGAGGCTAATTCGGAGGCAGGGCACTCAAGGAACTTGCTGCCCCGAGATGGACGTCTGGGAGGCTAACAGCGTAGGTTTCCCCCCGCGGTAAACTTCGATGTTGTTGCTGACACACGGACAGATCTCCACCGCTTACACCCCCCACCCGTGCACGACCCTCGGCCAATCCACCTGCACGGGCACCGCCTGCTCTGCCCCCAACGTGTACGCCCCCCCGTTCTCCTGCCGTTCTACATACTCACCCTCCTCAGCACCTCGGGCACCTGCGACCAGGCCGGCTGCGACTTCAACTCGTACCGCATGGGCGTGACAAACTTCTACGGCCCGGGTATGACGATCGACACGACCAAGAAGATCACGGTGGTCACCCAGTTCATCGGGAGCCCGATCAACCAGATCAAGCGCTTCTACGTGCAGAACGGCGTCGTGCACGGCAACTCGAACAGCACGATCAGCGGCGTGACGGGCAACTCGCTCACGGACTCGTTCTGCGCGGCGCAGAAGACCGCGTTTGGGGATACGAACACGTTCCAGCAGAAGGGCGGCATGGCCCGGATCTCGCAGGCCGCGAGCGCCGGTATGGTTCTGGTTATGTCCATCTGGGACGACCACGCCGCTAACATGCTCTGGCTCGACGCGCCCTACCCGCCGAACAAGTCCGCCTCGTCCCCTGGTGTCACGTACGTCGCTTTCTCGTCCAGCTTTCCCGCTTGTTCCTCTGCTGACGCTTCCGTGCAGCCGCGGCACGTGCTCGCCGTCTTCCGGCCAGCCCTCGCAGCTCGAGAACTCCGGCAGCAACATCCAGGTCACGTTCTCGAACATCAAGTTCGGCCCCATCGGCTCGACCTTCGCTCAGGGCAGCGCCACATAAGGACGTCGCGAAACGGCGACCGCGCCGGAGGGAAAGGCCGGCTGGGATGTGTAATAAAATGAATTTCTTCTTGTGATTGATCGATACAACTGCGAAATATATGAATGTCTGGAAATTCTCTTCAGAGTGACGGCCAATGGAGGTTCTTTATAATTGTGAGGAACTTCTTCCCCAGGATCGTGGCGCCGTGATCCCTACCTCAGGGATCCGAGTAAGTTGATACGATAAGTGGATTTTAGGGAACTCCACGATTGGAGATATTGGTCCTATTGATCGTTACGGCATCGAGTAACGCTTTCTCACGAGGTACTTCTTGTCTCCGCCCCTCATGGACCTGCCACCGGAGCTCATCGCCGCCATCGTTAGCGCCGTTGGCAGTGCGGAGGACCTCAGGTCGTGCGCGCTCGCCGGTCAGCGCTTTCGCTTCAAGTTCGCCTGCCAACAGCGCCTCTTAAGCACTCTCCGGCAACAACGGCATGGGCAGAAAAGGCTACCTGGAAGCAGCGGCGCGCTTCGAAGCGTGGCCCCACCTTGCTCCGCTTGTCAGCAAGCTCTACCTCGCCGTCGGCAGGCTCCCCAACACAATGGCGAGCTCCATGAGGCTTGTGGTGGGAAGCCCGGGCAGTGTCCAAAGAAGCGTGGATCCCCAGCAAGTGGGAAGAAACACATATAGAGCTCCGCGCCGGCCGTCGCGGGCCCGGCTGGCCGCCGCGTGGTGTCCTTCGCCCAGGCTCCGCAGGTTGAGAGGCTCCAACTGGGCCAGCCGCCCTCCACAACGATATCCGTGCCTGCGCCGTCTGGGCTTCATCATGACCGACCGGGAGTCCAGGACGCCGGCCGTGGCCGGTGCTCCATATACCGGCGGCGGCGCGCGCTACCCCGACAACCGAACATAAGGACTCAAGGTTCCGTGGTCATGTGTGCAACGGTGGTTGTTGAGTGGTGGACTTCAGACTTCTAAGTGACCGTCGCGTCGTGTCACACATTTTCGATGTGCCGCCGCAGGGCGCGTCGGACCCACCCATTCACACAGCATATGTCCAACAGGGTGCAGGAGCTTCGAAGACACTATATGTCATTGGACGGTGAGGCAGAAAGCCCATCATGATGGTGGTCTCGCCAGTAGATGCCGGGAAGACAGGAACACAGCGGTCGACGACACCGGAATCGTAGTAAGCACTTCGGGGGGGAATGACCACAGCCAGTGTAACCCAACGAGGGAATCAGTGCACAGTGACACAAAACAACGAACAAAACAGAGCTCGCATAGTGGCGTGGCCGAATGGCGTGCGCCCGCCAAACGCCGGCGTGCACGCCATTGATGGCTGTGGCGTGGCGTGGGATGGCGTTGGACACCGGCGGAGGATTCTCCCCATCGTCGGTCGACATGGATTGAATTGCACCATGCATTCCACTGGCTGTGAGCAAGGGGGGCGCAAGATGCCTATCACGGCTATGGGGCAGGGGGGGGGGTCCAGAGCCTAGAAAAAAAAACTTGTGTGTTTGGTGTAGGGATGCTTCAAGAGGTACTTAGGAGGCCTTAGGAGGCCTTTCATATGTAGATCTTCCATGTTAAATGCCATTTTATACCTTTGAATGCAGTGAAACCCAGTTTTTTTGGTGAAGTGACTAAACTTGTCACAGTCTTTGATAGCATCAACATATCATCATGATGCAAGAAGCAATACAACTTTATATGAAAGTTCATTTAAAGGCATAGGAACATTATAATAGCCTAGTTACAATTTAATTTAATCACATTTTCCATTTTCAAGACCTCTATCGATCATTTTGATGCGATTTTGATCGCATCAGTCACGTTTTCGTGGGAGATCATTACTATATAAGGCAGGAGGGGGAGGGGGGGTCCAGTGGGCGCAAATAAAAACTTTCAGCCCTATGTATGTAATTTCCACCTTGCGCCCCCCTTGGCTGTGAGCACTTCCCACAGAGTGGCTTACTACGATTTCGGGCTCGTCCACCGGTGCACTTCGGCCCCTCCGGCATCCACCGGCGAGGGCCGCGAGGCCACTATATGCTTCCCCGTATGCACTCAGAAGGCAGAGGGCGTCTCAGAAGCCATTGTGGGACACCTTGTGTCATAGACGGGCGTCGAGGTACCGCTACAAAATGTCTGGCGTGCCAAGCCGACAGAATGGCGTTGACGCCTGATGGGCTGGCGTTGGCTTTGATCGCCAGCCAAACGCCACTCCCACGCCACGCCACGCCACTTGGCGCTGGCGCACGCCATTTGGGCACGCCAAAACGTTAGCTCTCCGAACAAAATCCTTAGGGAATGTCCTACGCCACCTCACGCCACGCCACAGCCATCAGTGGCGTGCACGCCGGCGGTTGGCGGGCGCACGCCATTCAGCCACGCCACTATGCGAGCTCTGCTATAATCACCTATAGTGCACCATATTTCTCTCTAGTTAGAGGGTCAGGACCCCCCACGCTGACCCTCTAACTAGAGAGAAATAGAGCACTGTAGGGCACCCCCCGCTAATTCAAGCTTAGCGCGCTGCTCTTCTCAGCGGGGGAGACCGCTCACTGGCGGTCACTGGCCCGGCCCTTGCCCACCGTCACCCCGCCGTCACCCGCCGTCACCCGCCGTCACCCCCGCCGTCACCCCCGCCGCTCGCTGCCCCGACCCCGCCCACCCCGCCATCGTTGCCATCAGCGCGATGTGACGTCAACCCGATCAACATCAACGCCATCTGTCAACCCCGTGGCGACCGTTGACGCCGCATGTTCCGCGGCTGTCCCGGCCTGTCACCGTTGACCGCCCGCCCCCCGCGCTCGCTGTGCTCGACGTCGTTGAGCACAGCAAGCTCAATTTTTGTCCGTTTGACACGGGACCACGTGTAATAGATAGATATGATGTAATACAGTTGATTTCCATCACATATAGGCCTGCGCGTGCTCGGATCACCCGGCCGACCCCCCCGACTGCTGTCCCGCCCTCCTGTCCGCCCTCCGCCTGCCCCTGCCTGCCCCCCCGACTCAAAAAAATAAAAGTTGAAGATTTCAAATATAACACGTGCTGTATCGATCGCATCAATCAAATCACGTTCGTTGCTGAGATATAGCGCGTTCTTGTTAACTCAAGTTGATGATGCAATTTTTCAAAAAAAAAATGAAAAAGTTGTGTATTGATTAGAAAACATGTGCATTACATGTTTTATCACAAAAAACATGTTCATTGCTGAGATATGACGTGTTCTTGTTAACTCACTTTGTACTATATATGGTTGTTAACTCAACTTAGACCCCAAAAATAAAAGTTGCATTTTGACTAGATAATATGGAGAGGACAAGTCTCATTGAAAATAGTGGTTTTCTTGTCAAGATATGACCCATTCTTGTTAACTCATGTTGCTTGTTAACTCAACCCCACCTGGTTTAACTGATGAGCCTCTATCTCCATAACTACTTGACCTAAGTATATGATTCAACTACTACCAGGAAGGTTCTCAAGGGTATTATCAATTGGACATGGTATTGGATTATTATCACATGATATAACAGCTATATTAACCATTCATTCATATAAAAGAGTATATGCAGGGCTTAAAATTGTAAGGTTGCTCACTTGTGACTTCAGATACCCTAGGCTAGGGCTCTAGTATGTCCTCTTCCAAATCCAAGTGGATAGGGCAGTAGAAATGCCATGCATTCTACTCATCAGTGGTATTTTGATTTCCATCAACTGTGAAAGATAACCTTGGATCTCCAGCTAACCTCACTAGATAAAACTGGGAAAGAGCTCATTCAAAGGGTATGGCACCCCACACCCATTTAGCATAATCATCCATATTATCTGCTCCCCACACCTTCATTTATTCACTGCCAAACATACTTCAGTACTGAGATGAGTAGTATTCTGTTGATATCCTGAGACCCTATGCATGGAATCTCATGATCCAAGTTGATATAGTATCATAGGTGAGTCCACCATCATTCTACTCAGTGATAACCATACAGTGATGATTGGGGCCAGTCAAATCCCAGAGGCCTTAGCTGTCATATAACATAGTGTGATGATATGTTGGAGGGATAGGGGCACCATTTTTCTAGAGGTGGATTATACCCCTACCAGTAGATATGCTTAAATTTGTCAGATTCACACAGCTCATCCCCTGGTAAACTCATCATTATTGGGATAGATAACACTGATAATGGTACTGTGAGAGATCCATAATAGCTATAGGGTTGATTCAAGTGCTGGACAGGTTCATTTGAGGGTCTATACCATCCTACATCCAAGTTTTGGATCATACTTGAAATTATTTTCTGACCAGTTGTAATAGCGAAGACACTCTCTTTTGCTCTATGGGTACCTACCCTCTCTTCAGATAACTTCTCTGACATGTGTAGAAAGTATAACTAATTGAAGGACAGGGTCCTGATAGACATCCACATATCCTTATACCTCCATCTAAATGTCCAATACTGAGGCTATAGACCTTACCAGTCATGTAAACTGGTTTTGCATCCAATCTGTATTGGAATATCTGCCACAATTCATCCTCTAGGGACATGTCAAGATCAATCAGAGCAAGTGGGTTGGTATATACACCTCATTGACTGAATTCTACGTGTCTTGATCCATAATCAACTTACAGATCATGGCTGCATTGCCAATAACATGTATAATAGCTTTCATGGTTATAATGGAGAGTAACATGAAATTACATGAGCACAAACATGGTGTGAGGGATATTATCTTATAGGTATGTTACTCTATATGCTCTACTCTCATTTCATTGAGGAATTCTTACCTGTGAGTGAGTTGTGGTCATGTTGCAATAATGGCATACATACCATATATAAAGAGAGACAAGATGCTTAAAGATAGATTGGTTTTACAGGGCTATGATAGGTATCTATTAGACCAGAAAACAACTTCAATCGTAATTATCTATTCATTCTTGACCTAGATATCAAGACATCATTGTGGTTGATCAAATTTGAAACAAAAACACTTTAAAAAAGTAGTT